ATAAAGCTGTGACCTCCAGCTGGAGAAATGAGCCAAAAATAATAACAGGCAACAAAAACAGCCGCAGCTGCCATTCGCTAGGCAATACTATCTGAAGGCACAGAGAGTAAGCACTTTCCTGATTATTTCACTTCATTCTCCCAACGTCTCTCCCAAGCCTTGCAACCCAGGACCTAAGAGTTGGTTAGAAATGCCAACTCTTGGGCACCCGCTGGATCAGCACTGGCATTTCAACAAGGTGACCAGGGAACGCCTGTGTGCTGTAGGTTAGAGAAGCACTGATTCGAAATATCATTGTCTTCATGGTACAGATGAAGAAACTAAGCCTGAGGGAACTTATGTGACAAATGAGTTACCCCAAACCACACCACAAGAGAGCAGCAGAGCCCCCTCTTAAAGTCAGGCTTGACCCTAAAGACCGGTTTTTAACCACTGGGGGTGTAACCAAGCAAACCCACTGGGGGTGTAACCAAGCTTCTCGAAGAGCTGGCATCTGAGTTAGGCCCTGAGGTATGGGGCCAGAGACGGGAGGACAGGGGAAGGCAGACAGGAGACGGGAGGACAGGGGAAGGCAGATAGAAGAACGAGTGCCAGCAAAAGCCCCAGCTGGGGTTTAGGGCACAGGAAGAGACTCCGTCTGGCTGCAGCTCCCAGAGTCTGACAGGGTCAGGGAGAAAGGCCAGCTGGATCAGTTCACAGAGTTTTCATTAATTTGGGGGCAGTCGGAGCAGCACAGAAAGCCCTACCCCATGCTGACATGACTCAGACAAAGGGACCCAACAGGCTCCTGGTCTGGGCTCTGCCTCTCCCTCAGGGGCAATCTTGAGGGCAGGAGACTTAATTCTGTTTTCATATCCCATGTTTGTATAATGACGAAAATGCACTTACTTCCTAGTGAGGGAGGGCATATCAGTGTCAAAGTGGCGGGAATTTTGCTTTTAATAAAAAAGTAAGCAAAGGGATAAAGAGTATCCAGGGCAGCTCAGAACTCTACTTTGACAAAGGGATAAAAAGATATTTTCTCCCCACACCACCGGGCATACAAAGCTCCCGTGCAAACAACTACAAACTGTGTTAATTAAGCACAGTATAACTATAATGGGTTAATGATTTTAAACCTTTCTTCAAATCAAATCTCCCTAAAGTTTTGTGCATCTTCTCTTGAAAATACACAGAGTAAAAGACTGTGAACCACGAAAGAACCATGTATACACACATACCTACACACATACACACACTATTGGGAATGAAACAAAACTTTGAAGATGACTGAAATCTCAGCTGGGCTTTTCATCATTTCGTCCAGCCTTAGCTGTCTTCAACTGTTTCCTATTTTCAACTTTGAGACTTGAAGACAGAGACCAGCACACCGTTCACATATGGTGCTTTCTGAGTGTGGCTGGAGTCATGAGGGCCCCCTCTCTCTCGCTCCCTCCCTCCTTCAATGCACCGCTCGTTCTCTGTGCTTCACCCAGGAGAGCACGCTGGGTTGGTGAAATCTCAAGACCTGGGATTTCGTCCTGATTTAATGCTGCCCCTCCAGGGGGCAGTGAATGTGGACTTACCAGGTGCTTTTTATGTCATCTCAATGAGCACAAACACAACAGCCCCAGAGGTCATAGTCTTCCCCCAACCCCAGGAATAGACAGTTCCTCCCACATTTTGTTCAGTTAGTAAGCAGCACAGCTGAGGTTCCTAGCCCAGAGTGAGCCCACAGCCCCTGCACAGGTCCCTGGAGAGCCTGGGAATTGGCTGTTGTTGGGTCTGAGGTCCCTCTCTGACTGCTAGCACGTAGGGATAGAGCAAGATTTCATGGTAGAAAACATGACTGTCTGGGGCTTTCCCCGGCATAAACAGGAGTTGTGGGTGTAGAAGTTTCTCTTAAAAGGGACTAGGGGACTAGCAAGCACCATGGCTGTTTTTTAATATATATAGAGAGAGAGTTAGAAACATCGATCAGCTGCCTCCTGCACACCCCCTACTGGAAATGTGCCTGCAACCAAGGTACATGCCCTTGACCGGAATCGAACCTGGGACCCTTCAGTCTGCAGGCCGACACTCTAGCCACTGAGCCAAACCGGTCAGGGCAGCACCATGGCTGTTATGCTGAATAAGCCTCTACATGCTAGAGAGCCCCTCTACATGCTAGACAGCCTCTCCACATGCTAGAAAGCACTTCCACATGCTAGAGAGAGTCCCTCCACATGCTAGACAGCCCCTCCACATGCAAGAGAGAGAGCCCTCCACTAGCTCCCTCACCTCTGCTGCTGTGAACCACCTCCATGTCCTTGGCCAACAAAGCCAAAGTGCCCAGTGGTTGGTGGGTAAAGGGACTGCTTGCCCCGATCCTTCCTCCCTTTCAGTGGCTCATGAACAGGTGATGGCCTCCTTGGTTTTTCTTGTACCAGATTAACCAAGTTCATTCCCATTACAACCCCTCTAGCCCTCTTCTTTCTTTCATTACCCCTCACTCTTCCAATCATTACTGTGGTGGGCTATGGTAGCTACAACTTTTGTCTGCCCAGCACAACTTCCCTCTTCTGATTCCATTTAGTCCTTGTGAGACTGGCATTCACAGGGCCTCGGGCCTCTCACACACAGAATGGATACTTGACTCAAAGTAGACAATCAGAACATCCCATTCTCTTTGCCAGGGTGGGAGCAACTCAGAAGAGTTCATTTGAGGAAGGAAGCCAAGTTAAGACAAGCAAGGTTGGACAACTGGGAGAGATGGAGACACACACACTCACCCCTAAAAATAGTTTTTGAGCTCTTGGATTTAGCTCTGCAGTTCAATAAGCCAACAGATTTTCTTTTTAAATTAAAGAGTCTAAGCTCATCAGTTGCAACCAAGAGTCCTGACAAATGCACATAGTTTTCTCGAGTAAATCCTTTGCTCTCTGACTTCTTCCTCCCTCATCACATTTGTTCCATCTGTTGGTCCTTAAGTGACTCTAATCAAAGCTGATGCAGTGCATTACAACTAGTCTACCACTAAGTGGAAAGGCGACAAATGGAATTCAAGCAGTCTGCGGTCCCTGTACAGTCCAAAAGAAGAATAGAGTTATTTATCACTTCTAACTTTATCAACTTAGGTTAAAATAAAAGTTCAGGGACAACCATTAAGGAACAGATAGAGTATAACACCCAAACTAGTAAAAGGGAAAACACCTGAATAATTCAAATTAACCCCAAAAAAGGAAAGAAAGCTCAAATGAAATGAAGAACTGGCAAGATAAGTACATTGAAAGCATAAAATATGAAGGCATTTAAACCTAAGTACATCAGTGGTTATATATAACTAAACAGGGACCAGCTAAGAGACAATGACAGGCTATAAAAAAAAAAATCAAATTTATGCTGTTTATAATAGACATGTATAAAACATAGATACAGAGCCCTAGCCGATTTTGCTCAATGGATAGAGCATTGGCCTGCGGACTGAAGGGTCCGAGGTTTGATTCAGGCCAAGGGCACATGTCCAGGTTGCAGGCTCAATCCCCAGTAGGGGGTGTTCAGGAGGCAGCCAATCAATGATTCTCTCTCATCATTGATGTTTCTATCTCTCACTCTCCCTTCCTCTCTGAAATCAATAATATATATATATATATATATATATATATATATATATTTAAAAAATAGTAAATAATAAAACATAAATACCGAAAGGATGAAACTAAAAAGGTGGGAAAATATATAACTTGCATAGATGAACAACAACAGAAAGATGAGTAGTTATAGCAGATAAAATAGTTTAAGGCAAAAAAATTTTTTATTTTACTAGGGATATAAAGGGCAGCTTCAAAATTATAAAAGGTTAATTCACCAGGAAAGTATAACAACTTTAAATTAGTATGCACTTGACAATAGGGCCAAAGATCTAAAGCAAAAAATTAAAAGGTGAGCCGAAACCGGTTTAGCTCAGTGGATAGAGCGTCGGCCTGTGGACTGAAGGGTCCTGGGTTCGATTCCAGACAGGGGCATGTACCTTGGCTGCGGGCATATCCCCAGTAAGGGGTGAGCAAGAGGCAGCTGATCGATGACTCTCTCTCATCGATGTTTCTAACTCTCTCTCTCCCTTCCTCTTTGTAAAAAATCAATAAAATATATATTTTTTTAAATTAAAAGGTGAAATAGAAAAATTCATAATCATATTTAAATTTTAAAAAAAATAAATGTTATTGATTTTTTTTACAGAGAGAAGGGAGAGAGAGAGTTAGAAACATCCATGAGAGAGAAACATCGATCAGCTGCCTCCTGCACACCCCCTACTGGGGATGTGCCCACAACCAAGTTATATGCCCTTGACCAGAATCAAACCTGGGACCTTTCAGTCCACAGGCCATCGCTCTATCCACTGAGCCAAACCGGTTTCGGCCATAGTTAAATATTTTAACACAGTTCTCTCCGTAGTAGCTAGAGTAAGCAAAATAAATAAATAAATAAATAAATAAATAAATAAATAAATAAATAAATAAATAAATAAAAATAAATCAGTAAGGATAAAGATTTGAATATAATTAATAAACTTAATCTAATGGCATTATATACATCACTGAAGTAAAGTAAATTTTCAATAATGCCTACTTCTCTTAGGACTGCAGGTGGAGACACAGTCTCCTGGGAGCAGATCTATGCTTTGCCAAGTCATAAGAGGACCCTTCTTACAGGTGAAAAGCAAGGTGAGTAGGCACCCAAAATCCTAGGGGAGTTATCTTGTGAAAGGCTGCCTGCCATTCCAGAGAATCCTTTGTAGGCAGAATTCAGGAGAGGAAATAGAACAATGTTTTGGATTAGGGTTAGGAAGAGAAAGGATTAAGCCTCCAAACCCTGATAAAATTTTTGAAAATGGGGTGACCCTGAGTGCCCTATAGGCCTGCAAAGAGAACTCACCAGGATGCTGGGAGCCCAGCCTGGTGACAGGCTCAACACACAGCCTAGATGGCAGTGCTTTGGCAAGAATGGCTAAGCACATGAGCATAAGCTGGAAAAGCTCTAACCTTGGAATCCAAGACTGGGATCAAGCTGGCAGGAACCTGGTCCAACAAGGGTGTTGAGCAGCAGTGACCACACATCCCTGGACCGTGCAGGACAGCTCCTCAAGAGTGACACCATGTAGCTGTGTCAGAAATAACAAGGTGGGTGGACTGCTCAAAACTGCTACCCTGGCTCCTTTGCAGAATGGAAGGAAGATGGACTTCTTTGGAGTGCTTAACTACACCCCCAGAGGGCTTAGAAACAGGAGACATTGGAATTACCGGTACTAACAAGAGCCTTACAGGATTTGAAAGATTACTAGGAAAAATAAAGAGAGCCAGTGACTGCATTAGAACACAATGGGTGAAATGGGGCACACAGGTAATGAGAGAAATTAGCAGTGTTTTCAAACAAAGCCTGTGATAGATGACTTAAGAGAGGGTTCATTCATTAAGGCAAAGTGAAAGAACAAAAGGCGGCTTGTAGTGCCATCTTTTATCACTATGCAACGGAGATAAGGAAAAGGAACTTGTTTATTTTACATCTTTCTTGAAAAGCCGCTCAGTAGATGATGTCTCTTTGTTGCCCAGGACACTATCCTCTACACCTATCAGAGTCCCACTGATTTATTCCTTGCACTTCCCCCAAAGGCTCTGAGGTTCCTAAGCCAGGATATATAGATGTACTCTGAATCTTCACCCAAGGACATGTTCCTTGATGTTTAGAGAGGGGGAGGAGAGAGAAACATCGATGTGAGAGAGTACCATAGATCGGTTGTCTCCTGCATTTGCCCCGGCCAGGGCCGAAGATCGAACCCACAACCTAGGTATGTACCCTGACGGAGAATTGAACCCGACATTTCTGTGTAAGGGACTACATTCCAACCAACTGCTATACCAGCCAGGGTGGATATATATATATATATATATATATATATATATATATATTTTTTTTTTTTTTTTAATCTATATTTGTACTTATTCCAACTCCTCATGATCCTGCCACCCATCCATGTTAAAGAAGGAAGCGGGGAGGGGTACAGGAATGGATAATTTGTTTGCAACCGAAAATAAAAATACAGGTCTGCCACCAGAAAACAGAAACCCACAGTGACCTGGGGACTGCTTGACCGCGTTATCGGTGAACAGCTACTTGTGCTATCATAAAAATACAAGTCACCCAATAACCATGGAAACCAAAACGAAGGCACTGTGGTGAGGGTGGCACTTTTCAGAAGTCTAAAAACCATGAGAGGCCTGAAACCAGAAAGACGAAGAAAACCCAACTACTCCAAGCCAGAAATAAGTCCTTCCCTAAAAACCCTGAAAAAGCAGCATGTCCTCCAGTGTCTGCCATCTCCCCAGGCTTCAACCAGGGGTCTGGGGCTGCTGGCACTGGTGGTGAAATAATTTAGGCCTCTCTATGTGCTTCTGTCCCCGGGGGCCAGCTGCTATGAGGCAAGCTCCCTGGGAGCTGACACTTACTGCTATTATAAAAGGTTCTGAGGACCGGCAGAGAAATAGCACATATTCTCCTGCTCCTGGATGTACCAGCACACACAGCAGGTGCTCCAAAAATACTTACTGAATAAATGAAAAAACAAAACAAAACTGGGTTAGAACTCAGGAAAAGCACAGTGTCTGGTAAATGGTATATGTTCTTTCCACCATGCAGCGCCAACCTTCTGTCGGTTCCTGAGGAAGTCCAAGTCCCATTCTCTTTCTGGGTTCGGCCTCTCCATGTGCAAAAGGGGGACAGCTGGATCCGACGGTTTCCTAGGCACCTTCCAGCTCCGCCCGTCAATCACTGCGCTGTGTGCTTTTTTGGTGGCAGCACAGGCCGGCACTTTTCTCCCCCCTCGGAGGGAATCTGATACCCATCTGCTCCGGCACATTCATGTTCCCATCCTGCCTGACTCATTTGATAGGAACAACAGGTTCACATGCCAATCGTCAACGAGAACCAACGGGACCCAGAGAGACAAAAGGGGGAAAGGATCTAACCTTTTCCGTTGGTTTTGAGAGAGTTGAAAGGAGAGGGAGCGACGGGGAAACAAAACAGCACTTTTAAGGACTAAACCTATAGAAACTGACACGTGAGTATTCTCAACACCCCTCACGTGAAGCTCAGTTGTTTAAAAAAAAAAAAAATTTTGTACTCACAGCACTTTCTTTGAGCAGTTCCGTGCCTGACACTTTGCTAAGTAAGCTCTTTGAAACTTCATCCTTATAGCAACCTTTTAAACTAGGTATTATTATTTATTATTATTATTATTATTATTATTATTATTATTATCTGCTTTGAACAAATGAGGGTTCTCTATGGCTCAAGGTCACACAGCTAGGCAGTGGCAGAAGTAGAACTTGAACCCGGCTCTAACTGCCCCCAGAGTTCTCTGACTCTTCGAATGGCTTTCCCCTTCCACACTGCAGTCCTGGGAGGGAGGCCGAGCAGAGAGCATCACCTGAGCAACACCGAGTCTCCAAGAGGCTTGCGATGTGCACAAAAGACAGGAGTCACCGAAGAAGGTGCTCGGCCCAGACCCTCGCTCCTGCATTCCTAGGTGTGGGCTCTTCCCATCCCCGAGGGTCTGCTTCACCCTCTCCCACTTCACTTCCAACACAGTCCCAACACCTGGTCGCTGAAGGCGACCGCGGAGATCGGGACACCTTCCAGGAGGGGACACCAAGGCACCGCGCTACCTCCGCGCGGCGGAGCGTCCGGATGCCTGCGGGGTGCAGGGGCCAGGGCACCCACCCCGGTCCCGCCAGGGACAGATGCTCGGATCTCCGCCGGGACCCAGCGGCGCCTCCTACACCGGCCCGCCTCCCCAGCGCCCAGGTCCCGGGGAGCAGCCTCCAGGCGCCCAAGCCCCTGCTCCAGCGGGCCCGGGCCTGGAGCTGCGGGTGGGACCAGTCCGCCCGCAGCCTCCCCGGGCCGCCCGCCGCTTACCTCGCCGGGAGCTCCCGCGGGCACTCGGCCGCGCAGTCGGGGCCGCGGGCGCCGGAGCTGCAGCTGCAGCAGCGCAGCCGCGAGGCGCGGGGCGGCCGGACACAGCGCGGGGCCGGGGCGGGCGGCGCCGTCACGTGACGCGCGGGCCGGGGATGCTGGGAGCGGCGGGCGGGTGGCGGGGCCGGTCCTGGACCACCGCGGAGGGGAAGGAGCCCGGAGGCCTCTCTGCGGGGAGGGAGGGGCCGGAGGGAAGAGGAGGGGAGACGCACGGGGCTCCGGCTGTGCAAGGGGAGCTTGTGGGAAGGTGATGAAGGCCATGGGGGCCCAAAAGGGGCAGAAATAGGATCGGTGGGTGGGAAGTGCAGGCAGGCGTGCAGGGGTCAGTATGGAGGAGAGGCTTCACCCCCAATCTCCAGGATTCTCTGTCCTGGGGCTGGTGCAGATGGTGGTAAGCAACGTGTATGTACTCCGAGGCTGGGCTCATTCATTCCCAGCTACGGGGCGTGTGTGTATGAAAGGATGATGGATGCGGCGCTGCCACAGGACCTGCCACGTGGTCAAATGGTAGTTGCTGCCGCTGCTGGTATTGCGGGCATAAAAGTGAGCAAAGCAGGTACAGGTCCTGTCCTCGAAGTTACTTCTTACGTGGAGAAGGTAGTTGTTCATCAGATATATTTAAGCATGTATTTTAAATTATAGTAAAGGGCACTGGAGGAACTCTGATTTCTAAAATTAGGAGGTAAGCCGAAACTGGTTTGGCTCAGTGGATAGAGCGTTGGCTTGGGGACTGAAGGGTCCCAGGTTCGATTCAGGTCAAGGGCATGTACCTTGGTTGCGGGCACATCCCCAATAGGGGGTGTGCAAGAGGCAGCTGGTCGATGACTCTCTCTCATCGATGTTTCTAACTCTCTATCTCTCTCCCTTCCTCTCTGTACAAAATCAATAAAATATATTTAAAAAAAAAAACAAAACTAAAAGTGAAAGCAGAGACATTGGTTAAGACATGGACTGGAGTAGTGAAGATGGAAATGGATTAGAGACACATTTTTGGGGGGTAGAGTCAAATTTGGCTCGATATGGGAAATTAGGGGGATTCCCAGAATTCTAGCTTAACCTACTGACTCGACCCATGAGAGTGCTGTTTATTGAAATGGTAACTATTGTAGGGGAACATATTTGGAGGTGGAGGGAGATCAACAGCACATTTTTGCACTTGTAAATTTAAGATGCTTCTGTGTCATCCGAATGAAGCATTAAAAAAGCCAGTTGGATATGGACTCCTAGATTTTAGGAGAGAATGTCAGCTACAGAAATCTAACTTGAGATCACTGTAAAAAAATTATCACACGGGACGGAGGTTTATAATAGCTGATCCCTGCGGTCCCATTGACCTGTCAGTCCCTAATTCCATAGAACGTGGCCTATAAAAATGTATTCCATCCATTATTATTCTGAGTGAAGTCCAAATTACCAAGCAGCTGCTCTCTTTTTATACATGGGAGGAAGTGGTAGTGGGGGAAGAACCACTCTAAGCCTATTTTAAGCAGACACAAAGCTGTACACAAAGTAGCTAGATATACTGTGGTAGAAGCGCCTTTTCAACTTAGGTCAGGTCAGATCAGAACAGGTTATGATTTATACTACAATGAATTTGGTGATTTACTGCTGACGGGAAAAACTATGACATCTAATCCTTTGAAAAGTGCCCCATTGTGTGAAACTGGCAGTCTAGATGTCTGTCAGTAATCAAAAACCTGAATTTCTGGATTTGTGCCAGCCAACATTATCCTTTTGGCATTTCTACAAAACAGCTAAGCATTTAATTTTTATTTATTATTATTATTACTAGGGGCCCAGTGTAGGAATTTGTGCACCTTGAAACTGTGGGCCCCGAGGCTGCGGTGGGCACAAGGGTGGGTCTTGGCCCATCCTCTGTGCCCTTCCCTGCCCTGTCCCTCCCGCTGCAGCCCCTGGTCCCCCATCTGCTGGCAGCCTTGCTCCTGCCGCTGCTGCTCCCACGTGCTGACAGCACCAGCCCCACTTATATCCGCTGACAGCGCAGAGCAATTGGGGCCGGAGCCAGCAGCAGGTGTGAGCAGTGGCTGCTGCTCCGATTGCCCCTCAGGAGCCACCACTTGAACCCACT